GATTCATTTCCTGGCCGCTTCAGAACATTAAAGTTCATGGCATGAAGAGATGTGCTAGTTGCAATATTTGACCTGACATCTGCCATTGCGTTTGTCCATCGTCATCCCTTACCCTCTATATGGGTACCTCGGAATTGATACTGTATCTGAGGCCTGACACGAGAAGTAAAGGTCTGCGTTCCAGCAACAGCACACATTTGCATACAGTTTTGCGAACTCTTGTCAAGGGAAATTCACCCTTGACGAGCATTTGCGCGCAAACTTTGTGTCCTTACACAAAATATTAAAATACGAATCTTTTGTAAATAGTTTTTCTCATCAAGCGTTTTCTTGGACTGGCATCTGCGGCTGAAATTTGTGTAGGAACAGCTACTCGCGACCTTTTGTGTGCAAAATTTTGCGCGTGCGAACATTTTGTTTACAAGCTTTTTCAGGCAAATATTTTGCCACATAATCGTTACCTAGACATATCTTTTCCACCACAAGCCTTTCCCGCTACGAATTTTATACCCTTCGTACTTAATCCTGCCAAATATTAGGCATCCTAAACTAAACCCCGTTCCCGGGCGCAGTGCTGCCACCTGTACAGACCATCAATGTGGTGCGGAATGATAGGTGGCGCTGCCACACTGGTTTTGCCGTGGTGTGGTGGGTATTTTATGCATTAAGAACCGCAAATACGAGGCTTCAAGCCGTGTTTGGAATCTAATTTCCCTTCAAATGAGCAGAAATATAAGTCAGAAGAGTCAGAAGACATGAACAAATGCAGATATATAAATATACACAGACATATATATACACATTTGTGCATGGCTCAGAAATGAAGTTCGTGAAAAACACTATCTGCCTGCAGATCAGCCATATGGTAGGTGCCCCTGCCAGGGCCGCCATGTAGCCAGGCACTGATCATGAGGTATATATCGATGTTAAACATCAGCTCGCGCATAGGTGGCAACACGTCGCTACTTCCAAATAGGGCTCACGCATTTCGTGCGGCGTGACTGTAAGGCACGTTGTAGGTGCCGTCCCTGGGCTCGCAGTCTGTCCGGTGTTGCCGGCATTACACCAGTGTGGGCACTCCGAGAAAGTGGGAAACACAAGTTCAATGTGGACGGCACCACAGCGATCGAGGGTGCCGCTCCAGGTCAACAGACAGAATCAACAGTCAACAGTCTACAGTCTACCAGGTCAACAGTCAACAGTCTACTGTCCTCCGAGCCAACGAGAAGAACCCAGCAGCATTTTGTTCGGCCCTTCGACGATCGGGATTCCCGGGAATGCTCCGGCTGTGGGCACAAATAACGAAGGCAGTGGACGCGCCATTAAAACTCGATAAGTGACTAACAGTAACTAAGGAGTGCCCGGTTGGTTAACATAAAGGGCCCCGGCCCGAACGCAGGGCCCTCCGAGCAAATGAGTAGAACCCAAGACCAATGTGAAAGGCTTCTGAGCGATCGAGAGTGCCTTAGTAGATGTACATACATATATCCGACAGCACCGTATGGCCACCCGAGGAAATCGTAGTCATAGACCATGCCAAAATAGCCCAGAAACGTGAACTATAGCGGGCTGAGTTTCGTACGGTTTTTAAAACTACATTTCTGACCACTTTCAGTGTGTAGATCTGAGCTCCCGCATCACGGCGTGATAAACTCAAGCCCAGCCCAGGATACAGCCAGGGGACGTCAATGGGGTCAGTGCCGTTTATAATCTGCTCAAACGGTATCAGTTTGCACGTAGAAGCAATGCCACTATTATGCGATATGCCGATTATACACAACTTATGGTTTTCTGGGAGAAAGCGTTGCCTTATTGTACTCACTCAACGTGGCGAGTACAATCAATGAGTAAGCATACTTCACACCATGAATCAATGTTTCAGTTAAAACTCGATGAACTGGAATTCCAGTAAACCCCCGATGGTAGTCTTAGGTACGCCGTACGCGCTAATTGCTCCGGAATGCGCTACCCACCTACGTCAGTAAGCAGCACTATTATAAACAAGTGTCCCTTGTGAAAACCGTAGGTCTAGGGATAAACCGTACGCTACCGTTTGAGCCGCGCATCGGACAGCTTGTAGCCAGCTTACGGGCCCCACTGGCCTGTTATGCAAAACACCTCTCCGAAAGCCATAGTCCTCTCTCTCTCTCTCTCTCTCTCTCTCTCTCTCTCTCTCCTCTCTCTCTCTCTCTCTCTCTCTCTCCTCTCTCTCCTCTCTCTCTCTCTCTCTCTCTCTCTCTCTCTATCTCTCTCTCTCTCTCTCTCTCTCTCTCTCTCTCTCTCTCTCTTCTCTCTCTCTCTCTCTCTTCTCTCTCTCTCTCTCTCTCTTGTAGTTTACGCATGGGTACTGTATGCGCCGAGGTATTGCATTTACATACATGATAGTTGCAACGCTGGGTTCATGGAGCGCATTCAAAAGCTAGTCAGCTGATGTGTACGGGTCATCGCGAGACGGCGAAAACACGACCATATAAGCGATGCGCCTCGCATGTTCAAGTGACCGCCTGCCAGTCGCCCTGCGACGTTCCACACGCTTTGCCTACTAAAACGTATGTTGACAGCCGGTCGGCCCAGACCCACAGTGGGCTACACGGAGCCAGGAGAGTACCGCAATATGCGGCAGGATGCGAAGCTCTGTCTGCTTTGAATCCACACGGAGACGGGCAGGCGGTGGCTCAGATGGCGTTGTGCGCCTGCTTGCAACACGGTGCCTCCTGAGGTGAGAGGTCGTCTACCACGCGGCTTTGCACGTGGGCCTCGCAACATATCGGTGAACCAGCTGTGATTCGTGTGTGCCAAAACAAGCTGCAGCTATTTGTTCTGCCAAGCCGAGCGTACTTCAGTTTACGTGAGTGTTTGAACGCGTGTTTCTCCCTGCGAGCCTCCTTATGATTTCGACTCGAGCTAGAAAATAGCCATGGTTTGGGACGGGCTTTCAAGTCTGCAATACAGTACAATTGTGAAGAGCTCAAGATCAAGTGGGTGGGGCATTAAGCGATCAAAGGTGGCGGGGCAAGTTCAAAGAAGGGGACGCCCACAAGAGTGTAGGACCCCGGAAATGAGGGCAAATCTACAGAGCCTTAGACCACTGTAGAGGGACCCTGACCCTGAGCATCGAGTGCCTTGGTAGGTTAACACGCGCCCGGGTGGCCGGCTAGATACCCTTCGCTCGGGTGGGGGGTCAATGTGACCCACCCCTGAGATCTCGAGACTTAAGAAAGCTACAGACACCAAATTTACAGGGTGTGTTGACCTGTACGTGAACCCACTTAGATCAAAGTTTCAGGTTCCTAAGTCACAACCTTTGGGTCAAAAAGGGTCAAACAAGGTCAAGTTTCAGGTTGGTCTCCAAAGTGCCCCAGAACCTAAATAACCGTTTCTAAGCAAAAGGTCACATTCTCATTCAAGATCAGTGACCTTTTTTTGATCTTTTGAAGGTCAAGGTGACCAAAATCATACAAAATTGCTTTGAGTTTTGCAGTTGACTAAGCGACAAAGATTACGCTAGACAGTATGTTCCTAAAGCAAAATGCCGACCTGGGTTATTTTAGGTAAATAACCTATTCTGACCTCTAAGAAGCCCATGGAAGATGCATAGTGCGGTTCCTGCTATCAATAAACTCAAAATGAGCACCTGAAATTATCCCATACAGCAAACCTTAGAGTAACAAAACAGGTTGGTTTTGACCTTGGTGTGACCTTAATACCTGACCTTAGGTCAATTTAATTTGCTCATTCAACTGTTGTGTTGCCTAAGAAAGCATCTCAGAGATGTATGGCTTCGTCTAACACTCCGTTTTTGGATCAGATTGAAGGATTACCTAGAAATTGCCTTCGCTGAAACCATAGGCTGACTTTGACCTGTCATAGGTCAGCGATCTTGCAAGGTACATGTAAATTGTTGATGCCAAACGATTTTTTATTCAATTGTCTACAGCTATGCAAAATTTGGCGCAGCTACGCCGTGCTGTTCGGAAACCATTCTGGAAAAACCTTCCGGAGGGATCAATTTGACCCCCACCCGAGCGCGTGTTAAATTACGTAACCCAGCCCCCCAGCAACAGCGCAGGGCCCTTCGAGCAAGAAGAGAGAAGCCGAGACGAAACAGGAGGGGTGCTGAGCAACTGAATACAAATAGGTATCAAGGACAACGAGAAAGAGCCCTTAGCGTTTGGAGTGCTCCGGCAAGTGAACATATAGGTGCCTTGGCAACAGCCTATAGCCTATGGACATCGTAACGGGCCCTTAAACCTCTCCTGCCGCCACCCTTTCAAGCAACAACTTATTTATGTCTGTTCATTGGCGCTTACTTTCGCTTGCGGGTATTCTCGGCCACCTGGAGGCCCAAAGAAGCCCATTGTTGTGTCTCGTGTTAAAAACCTGCATCCGTTCGGCCTGTTGTAGGCCTCTTCGGTGACAGGGGGAGGACATGAGCCTGTTCCTCCTGGACTCGCCACCGGTTGTCCACACGACTCCTATGTTGGTGACACCCTCCCGCAACGTCATGTTGGACCGACACGGTGACGTCAAAATAGTTGCCGCCCTTCTCCTGTTGGGGGTGGGAAGGAGGGGAGGGGCGCGACGGTGGCGGCTCGTGGCCTTCTCCACTGCGCTGATGTGAGAGGCGGCGCCCCGGTGGTGACATTTACTCCTGATATGCCCAAGGCCTGGCCGGTTCGGACTAAAGCTCTTTTCGGTGGCGATACTATGGACCGAAGCCTGATGTAGTATGCAATGTAATAACCAGCCCGTGGGCATAACAATGAATATTGATATATCATGCTCAGAAAAGTGCGCTGAAGATTTTAATAAAAATTCAGAAACATCACTTGTGAAGGTGATGAGCCACTTAAGCCTGTTCTTATGTATACCCTTGTTGAATATGTTAGGAAGATGTACTAGGACACTCACATTTACCGGCAACAAAATGCGAGCTTTGACTCATTTTTGGCTCACATACGACGCATGCACAGTGTGGTGTGGTCATTTATAAAGCCAGCCCATCGACGTCGTTTGCATTTTAACGTGCACCACGTAATAAACACGCACACAAAACATCATCTTCACGGCGGACAACCCGACCAGCGAAGCCAGTTCACGAGCAGGCATCTGCCCGGGCCCGACCATCGCTGACAGCATGAGCCGTTTACCGGCGACTCCATTGGCCGAGACGTGCACTCACAAACGCCAGTGCTCGGCCCCGGGCAGGCCTACACAACCCCGCGAACACTCGTTGGCACAGACCGTGACGCCTACGTTACAGAGAACTGATACACTAAAAATATAAATTACTTCTCACTTTGCTCTGTGCTCGGCGCGCCAGTGACGGCCTATTAAACCTTTGTACAAATATTTACAGCGGCGGAGTCGGGCGGCAGTGGCCTGTTTGCTGTTTGCTCTCGGTTAACAGCGCAGCAAGAGCGAGCCAGGCCGGGCGGATAACACAGCCGGCGGCGCGCTCTTCCAGCAGTCCGCAGCAAAACAAAGAGAAACGCCAGCCAGCCGCCCGGCCGCGCCTATCAAACAACGCCGCTATCGGCGCGCGTTTTTACGCGCGTTTGACTGCCGCCGCCCGAGTCCTTGGAAGCCGAAAACGGCGCGGCGCGGCGGAAACGGCGCACTTTACGGCTCATCAAACCGACCGGCGGGCGGCCGCCGAGACGAGATGGACCGCAAACAGTGATTGCTTCCACTGGCGGCGGCGGGGCACCGGGAATGTTTTCCTGCATGATCGGCGGCCGTCCGGCGGCGCTCCCGCCTAAACTGCGCGGCCGTCGCTGGGAAATGGCGCGAACGACGCCAGTGCCCGACGAGCGCGGCGGCCGGCCGTCGACCGACGGCCCAGCCGAGCACTGTCTGTCCAGCCGCCGCCGCCGGGTGTTCGGGTGCGGCCGGCGTGGCAGCGACGGCCGACGTCAGGGCGGCACCCGTCCCGAGGGTGACGCGGCGCTCACACGCCCGCCGCGCGGCGACACTTGTCCCGGCGCGTCGGGCTCGACACTCCCTTCCGGTCGGCTGCGATGCGACCCCGGCCCAGCGGCGCGCCCTGGCGCCGCGCGCGTCACGACGCGGAGCGGGCGGGGCGGCCGCGTCATCCCGCCGGCGGACCCGTGAGCCCGTCTGTAAGCGCGGCGCCAGCGCCGGCAGCGTTCGGGCGCCCCCGCGCTACAGGCACGTGTGCACGGCCACCTCCCGGTGGCACTTGCTGCAGCGCACGGTGCAGCACCAGTTGAACTTGCACTGACAGCGTTCTATGCGCGTCTCGTGCCGCGTCGAGTAGCCTCGTTGGCAGCAGAGCAGGTCGCACCCGTCGATAGCGTTCGAGCTCTGCAATGGCGGGCGCGCACGTCAAACAGCAGGACGCCAAACACCGGCGCCAAACGACGGAGCATGGATCTTCGCGGGCACCATTAATGGAGAAATCACGATCATGATCACAGTCACGATCACGATCACGATCCAAGCATGAACCACTGTTGTCGCTCGTGAATGACCCCCTGCCCACACCACATCAGCAGCAAAGAACTGTGATATGAAACGCTGCATTCATGCACAAGTTACAGCGCAAGGCATGTTAAAATCGGCACCGCACGCGTGCATACAACACAGACCGTAGCTAAACAGCGCGACGAACGCACACACTCCCGCCGCCTCCCACACCCCACGCACGAGGCCGGCGGAGGACTCGGCGCCGACGCTCCCGTCTCCGTCGTCACGTACCGCGTTACACTCGCGCTCGTGCGTGCCGAGGGTCAGCGCGTCGCGCTTGATGTCGAACTCGCAGAAGTTGGGACTGGCCGACAAGTAGACGAGGTCGGCGTCCGTGTGCTGGCGGAACTGGTCGTTGCGCGGCACCAGCAGGAAGCGGCCGCCCACCTTGCGGCGCTGCACGCGCGTCGCGCTGTCGAACTTCTCCTTCAGTCGGCGCCCGACCTGCGGCAGCGGTCCGGTCACGAGCGGTTCGGGTCAGGTCAGGGCCAGGGTCAGGTCAGGATCAGGCCAGGTTGAGGCCAGGTTGAGGCCAGGTTGATGCCAGGCTGATGCCAGGTTGAGGCCAGGTTCAGACCAGGTTCAGGCCAGGTTCAGGCCAGGGTCAGGCTAGGTTCAGCGCAGGTTCAGGCCAGGTTCAGGCCAGGGTCAGGCCTGGGTCAGGCCAGGATCAGGCCAGGGTCAGGTCACGGCCAGGCCAGGGCCAGGCTAGGGTCAGGCCAGGGTCAGGTCAGGGTCAGGGCGAGGTGCGGCAGGCGACGGGACGGACCAGGCCGGCCTGCCGGGTCGACAAGCGGCGAGTGTCTGCCCCTCCCGGCAGTAGCCGGCACCGCGGGCGCTCAAGCTGTCTCCCCTAGCTCCGGGCACATTAACTTCTCTGTGTGTGGAACTGAGCTGGCGAGCACCGAGCTACACCTGTCGTCAGCGGCATGCTTGATGGGAAAGGAGAGCGCGGTCACAGCGCAAACGCGTCTTTCCTCATCAACCATTCTACGTTCAGTAAATGTGATTAAGAGCAGCCTTTAGCTGTGTTTCTCCCCTTTTTACTGATGCACAACATTGTAGTTCCCTTAAGAAACTCTTGTGCAGACGCTACCAGATTCAGCTTGCAGGGCCCACAGATGCTGAGAGTCGACAGAACCGTGTTGAGACCAGCTGTGAGTCTGTCTTTTCTATTCTCGTCTCCCTCTCCTCCTTCCTTGATCAGCTGCTAAATAGCCCCACGCTGGGCTTAACCGGACAGCCGCACGCTCCAGCCCAGCGCAGAGGTGTCACAACGTGCCTCCAGAGGTCCTCCCCACTCACCTCCCTGAACTGCGGCATGCTCTTCCAGCAGGTCTTGAGCTCGCAGGAGCCGGACACACCGTGGCACTTGCACTCGATCCGCATGTTGTCCTCCAGCACCTGCGGCGGACAGAGACGGTGGCGGTCAGCGGCCAGCGGCGCCCCTGCACGCTCCTCTGCTGACCGGCGGCCTGGCGCCGACACGGAAATGGTGGACTCCATAGGATATGTGATCTTTCTGCATGACAATAAGACTGATGTTGGAATTCAGAACCATTCGGGGGAGGGAGGGAGGGCGCCCAAACACATGGGTGCTATCACCGCTGAGGTTGGTGAATTCGGCCCCAGGAACACTTTTGGCTGGTTCGAACACTTGGGTGTTTTGACCTTATACAGTTGCAAAAAATGGACGTCAGTAGTATTGGGGGGTGACTACGTCCAAGCCACTACATATATACGAGGGAGTGCGGCGATGCTGCTGATGATCAAGTTGACCGTGTGTCTCTTGTTGTGCCGAACCAGACATGGTAGCTCGACCGGCGGCCATGCCAACGGCCAGCCAGGCCGGCAGACTTCAGCCCAGCTGCCTTGCGCTGCACTGCTGGCGTCCGACGGCTGCCGCCAGGCGGCGGGCGCGTCACGCGCGCTTCTCTGGTGAGTGACACGCCGCCACCGGGCGCCGGGGCGGGCAGACGGGGCTGAAAGGCGGCACCACGCGCGGACAGAACAGTGGCCACGTCCGGCCGCCAGAGCCCTGCTAAAGGCCGGCCCCGCCAGGTGAAAAAGGTCGTCGGAAGATCATATCCGAACAGGGGATGAATGAAGCGTTAATTGACAACTAAAAGCCTGCCTTTCATGACGGATGCTGTGATCTTGAGCGGGGCGGGGCGATGCGAAATACTGATCCTTTCATATGTAAATGGACTCGGTCTGAGGAAGGTCTCTCTCTCTCTCTCTCTCTCTCTCTCTCTCTCTCTCCTCTCTCTCTCTCTCTCTCTCTCTCTCTCTCTCTCTCTCTCTCTCTCTCTCTCTCTCTCTCTCTCTCTCTCTCTCTCTCTCTCTCTCTCTCTGCCTTTCATAGTTCCCAGGTCCTTAACTTCAAGGCATCAGAATACCGTGCAATTCAAGATACACTGCTTGTATGGCGGCTACTAGCCTCCTGTTTCAGTTATAGTTGAATCTATCGATCGTCTCGATGAGATGAGCTCACCTCTCATGAATGCTACCGTGAATCGTCCTTCTTCCATCCGATTGAACTACGAGAGTGATGATTTCATGATACACCCGGCTTCACGCGATTTTCTAGTCGGCACGAAACCGCGTTCACAACTACCTATAGCTGGCCAGATAAGGCGGAGCAACTACACGCGCACAAACCGTCATCAGTTATCTCGCATCACATCGGCAAGGAGTCTGTTGCGTTACGGAGCGGGCCACATCTGTTCGCTTAAAGGGAGTGTCCCATCTTTGGGATATTTCAAAAACATGCCCTTGTGAAACATTAGGGCGGCTTACGTCTAATAATAGCACTGGGTAGTTCCACTTCGGCACTGTCAGGACATAAGGATGTCAATTCTAATTGCTATTTAGTCCAAATAACGCCGTCAACGTTTCGCGACAGCACTACGCCTCTTCACCTTATTCGCGGCCGCCGACGTCATGGCAAACGCCGTGGCGCTTTTACTAGTGCGAATAAAAGAACGCTCGCGATTGGCTCAGAGGACGGCCATGGCCTGCTAGCGAAAAGCGCATTGGTTGGAGTTTAAAACAGCGCGTCAATATGACTATGTGATGCTTCCGTTCCCGAAGCAAAAGCGCGCCTCGGAAAGAGCCACCCTGCTAAGCGTCACAGGTCAAAGCCATAATATGACGTTTCGTTGAATTCGCACGATAATAGCTTCATATGCCAAAAATATTTTTGTCCAAGAAGAGTGCTCCAAACTTTCATAGCATCCAATACACACAAATTTCGAGAAATCAGTGCGTTGCAAACATTGCAGGACACACACTTGGAAAAAGGAGGGCAAGTAAAATGCATGATTTTCATGTTGGTGATCAAGTAGTCCAATGACATTGCTCCCGCAGGAGAAGCTACATGAAACAGAAATTCTGGGCTGTTCAGAAGGGTTTATATGGAACTTGTATTACTGATCAAATCATACGCGTCCGATCTAATGAGAAGTAATTAAGAGGTGGCATACTCCTTTTGAGCACGGCTAGACTCTCATAGCGACAAACAACAATATGCATACATTTGAGCCGCGGCTTCACAACGCCAATCTCCGCGATCTAAATCCAGAATCGGAATAACAACACGCTCGGCTCAGCCTCATACAACAGCGAGCAAACACCTCGACCGTTGTTCAGACTACGAACTGTGCCTGACAACAAGACTACTTCAGCTACACACACGGCGTTCTTCTCGTCCCAACGGAGTCGGAGACAAACTCTGGTCTGCTCTCCACAGCTGCGTCAGCGTCCGGCCCTCCGTGGCCGGCTGTCCCCGGTCCACGCAGACCGGGGATCCCGCCGCGCAGAGAGCCGGTGCGAGCTAACCGCTCACCGCAGACGCCGCACGCGCTGGGCGCGCTGGCGCGCCGGCGCGGAGCGGGAGCTGCCGGGCGCGACCGGCTGGAGCCCGGCCGGAGCCGGAGCCGGAGCCGGAGCCGGGCCGGGCCGGCGGGGAGCCGTAATCACAGCACGCCGCGTGCCGTCGAGGAATGACGCACGGCTCGGAGCGCGGCGGGAGAGCTCGGCTCGCCGGTATGTGTAAACAGGTCGGTAATGGCGCCATTGTCCCAGCGTAATGTACGCCCCAGGGATTACGATACGCGGACCAGGGAGCGGGGGCCGATGACAAAACGATCCGGTCCGCACTGCCGGCCTCGTCAGCCGATTACCTGCCCTCCACTGAACCGGGCGCCCCGCACGGATCGACTTGTTTTTTGAGCGAACGTATTCGCATCACATGGGAGTGAGGCTGGAACTGACGATGACTGACTTGGGTGGACGTGCTCGGATGGCTGGCTCTGAGGGCGGTTCGGATCACATCCTCTTCGGCTCAAAACATGTGTGTGCAAGGAAAACAGGCCGTAAAAAACCGGTGAGGACGCAGACCTTGGAACAATTCAACGGAAAAAGAACTAGGACGTATGAATGGCACCGAAGACATGAAGAATGGATCCAAATGGATGGATGGATCCAATGGATCCGATGGATCAGGTGGTCAGCTCTGCTGTCGTTCACGAGATTGCAATCCTGCCGCAGTTTTGCCGCCAACGCAACTGCAGTCTGAAGCAGCCTGACGAAGCCTCTATCCTTTCGCGTGATCTCTTTTGGCTATAGGCGCACTAGACCAGTGAAGTGATGAGAACTCAGAGGCCACGTGCCGAGCGCTCCTGAAATTCCCAGGGAGATTCCAGTAAGGAGCTTTACTTTCCTGAAATAACGCTTCACAGTGAAACTTACGTCCACATCGCTGGACACACGAACGGAATGTCCACTGATCCGTCAAAGCACGCCGTCATTTTGAATTTCCATCAGCGGGACATGTCTGCTTGACAGCATTACACCAGCCATCCTCAGGCTCAGTCGCCAGGCTCGCAGGGCGACGTTCCCATGTGGCATCGTCGCGGCGTGATCTTGAGCGACGACGGCGGCCCGTCACCAGCACGCGAGGCGGACATGCATCTCGGAAAGAGATGCGCCTCAGGCCGCTCTGTCCGGTTCAAGCCGACCCCAGCGAGCGCAACAGTTGTGCGCTGTCTCCCAAACAGCTGGAAATCGATTTTCCACCAGCGCGTGCAAACTCTTGACAGCGAACGCCCCCATGCAAGAGCTCTGGCGCATGGAACTACACGCCGTGGACCGTGTGCGTGCGCTCATACAACCACCACTACCGCTCGATGCCATTGTCTGACCGTGTATAACGAGGAACGTCTCCATATCGTGAAAGGTTATGCAGATTTTTGCGTTGGGACATCATGCTAGTTCTCTTTTCAACAAAGGACCGAAGTATAATTCTGGGAACAGCAGCTTCGGAAGCGAGCGATTTCGTTGCGTTCACGCAAGGGTGACCCACGGTCTTGCTCCAAGCTGTAGATGGTCCCTCGAGCGATCCATTGCAATGGAGCGTTCACGGGGCATTGCGCGCCACAGAATTATCGTAAGCTTGATGTTTTTAACTTAACATCGGCACAGAATCCCTTACCTTCTGAATTATCCTATCTATAAGCTTTGGCGGATGACATCTCAGCAACTGTGACCGTGTGACATATAGAGTGCCTAATTGGTTCTTGTCAAATGCATTAATAATGGATATCTGTGTGAGATTTGTAACGATAGTCTTCTTCTTGAGAGCCCTCAGATTTGATTTGTTGGGCTTTTCTGTTTTATTGTTAGGCTCAGCGTGTGTTTACTTACGGGTGCTTTTGGCCACAAGGAACAGTTGCAAAGCGCAGATGTTAATCCGCTGCATTGCAATATCATGACTTACGTCCCTCAAAACTGTATTGCGATCGGGTCACCTTCGGATGCACCGGAAGTTTACAACCTCCACGATTGTTGTGAAAATGTGACCCGGGGCTAGATGAAACAAAACGGCAACCAGAAGCTACTGGTGGACACCAGCCCACTTGAACGAAGGTTATGGTTACTTACTCTTACAAAGATGGAGTTGTGCGCCGCCTGCGAAGTACTTTTGTTCTACTGACTGGCACTGTATATTACTCTTCGCACATTTTTCCTTTCTGCAATACGCGTAATACTTCGCAACAATTGCCCTCCCTAACCGACCCCGTTAAATGCAAGACTTCAGGTGATATCTACGACAGACGTCGGCGACGCCGCGTGAGGCCTCGAAGGGCCAGCGGCCGCTGAGGCCTCGGAAGACCTGCACCCGCTGAGGCCTCGGGAGACCTGGGCCTGCTGAGGCCTCGGGAGACCAGCGACCGCTGAGGCCCCGGGAGACCTGCGCCCGCTGAGGCCTCGGGAGACCAGCGCCCGCTGAGGCCTCGGAAGACCCGCGCCCGCTGAGGCCTCGGGAGACCAGCGCCCGCTGAGGCCTCGGAAGACCTGCGCCCGCTGAGGCGTCGGGAGACCAGCGCCCGCTGAGGCCTCGGAGGACCTACGCCCGCTGAGGCGGCGTCCCCCAATCAGCCTGCTGCCGCCCGGGGCCAGCCGCCGACGGCCCTATTTGCAAATATTGGCTCGGCCTGGCCGTCAGCAAAAGTGGCCGATCACGTGAACAAACGGCAGTCGGCGACGCCGGCGAGGGCTGCCCGCCGCGCCGCGCTGCCGCCGCCACAACATGGCCGCCGCGGACGGCCTTCCTGTGGCGGCGGCGGCCCAGAGCGTGCCGCTGCCGCCGCGGTCACGTGGTGTCTGCCGCGGTCACGTGGCGCCGCCGGGGCTCGCGGGGGCGCAGTCAGTGAAGCAGAAGGACGGCAGCCGACGGAGCACGGACCGTTGGAGATCGACAGGCCGGCCACGAACCGATTCTCGAATTGGGTTGACTGGAGCACATGAATCGCGATCACCGCCCAGCTGAAAGCGAGGGCGGCGTCGTTGCCGGACGGGACCAGAGGCGTCAAGCCGCCGCGCATTTGGCAGAAGCAGCCGTGTTTCGTTCACTGCTCTCGGGAACGAAGAACACCTCGGCACGGAAGCTGCGTAAGCTGACCACACCTTGCTGACCGGCTTCTGACACGCCGGACAACGGCCGACCAAACATCAGCTGCCCGGCCGCCTGAACAGAGCTCGGCGGTGCCGGCGCGCCTGACAGTGGCAGTGTCGCCACCAGCCTGCTGCACGTACCAGGCGGCGAAACAAAGCGTGAATGGCATCTGGGTGGCCTGTTTGGAAAGCCAGCCTCATGGCGGGTACAGCAGAGCCTAACCGGAGGGTCTTTACTGGAAGCCAGCCCGATCCTAAGCGTGAATTAGTGCAGTGGGCGGCCCTGTGTTGTTCGCCCACTTGCCGTCAGTACCGCTATTTCAGTCCCTTTGTCAGCGCACGGGTAACGTGAGACAGTTACCAGGGTTAGGTCAGCAACGTCTATGCTGAGCGTGAAGCCCTCCACCTCTTCAGATCCAACCCCAACCAACGTGTCTAAGAGCGTAAGCTTAGGGGCGGGGGCCCTGAGTGCTTGGAGCGGCGGGCCCTGAGTGTTTGGAGTGGCGGGCCCTGAGTGTTTGGAGTGGCGGGCCCTGAGTGTTTGGAGTGGCGGGCCCTGAGCACTTGGAGTGGCGGGCCCTGAGTGTCATGGTACGCTCACTCGCCGAGAATGCCTGACATTAGCCCCAAGGCAACACATGGAAAAGGTCAATTTCAAAATTGATTTTGGCACACCCACTTTCTGAGAGCTGCTTTCGCCTATAGCTAGGATAGCGATTCACCCGCGGAAGATCATGGTCCTGCTTCTCCATCTCACCTTCCTGCCGGCCTCGTTGTTGTGCAGGTTCATCAGACTCTTCTTCCTGTTCTTCTTCACTCCGCGCCACTCCCTCGAGTCGACGAATCGCTTCGAGAGGCCCGAGCCGTAGGCGATGTTGTCGGAGCATCCGGACCACTGTCGGACACAGACGCGACATGTGAGCGACATCACCATGGCAACGCGGCGACCTTGGAGCTCGGCCCTGATTTAGAGCGTGACGTTCCGTCGAGGACAGTCAGACGTTTAAGTTCAATCCCTTCTTGCCAAATCATGCTTGTCACCGATGATAATGGCCGTGTCAGATAGCGGCTGACATTTGATTGCTTTCAGGAGCGAGCTGGCGAGAAAAATGGCATGTTCTTCGCAAAGTGAGTCACAACAAAGAACGTAGACGACACGCTAAAACGGTTCGGGCCGTGACTATAGAGTATTCATGGCATCAATGCCACAGATGGTCAACATCAATCAGTTACTTTTAAGGCCGTAGACAAGCCATCGCCCCGCCACAACGTTCCTCACTGTCCAGGGAAGGACCAGTCTAACCTCGTAAATATTCACGCATTCCAATTATTAAAAGAGCGGAAGACGACTTGGAAAGCACGCCATGCGTTTAATAAAACTCAATGCAAAGGGCGTGCGCTTATCAGGAAGATAAAATAACATTTGAAAAATCGTGTACTGCAGCTTGAAATGTCATTGGACAGTTCAGTCCAAGGACTTTCCGAAAACTGGAGGAGAGAGAGGGAGAGAGAGAGAGGGGGGGGGGAGGGAGGGAGGGAGGGAGACGTCAGCCGGCCAGGCTTAAGTCTGAATGGTGTGGAGTATAGTGAGAGCCCGACAAGACCATCGCTTAACTTCATTGACAAATGTTCGTTACAGAAATACACCCACCAACGTTTAGCTGGCGCTGGCGACAGGCTTAAAAGCTATGAAGAACGTCTATTAGAATCATGTTTGGCGAGCGATGGGAGACAGGATGAGCTCCACTGGCTGTCCCATAAGAACGGAAGCAACGCCTTACCAGCTGCTCGTTAAAATCCCAGCAGAATCTCAGCTAAGACATTCCTGGCCGAGCACACTGGACGTGGTGCTTAAGTGAATGGCGTATGCCGAGTTGCATCACATCTAAGGTAATCTGCTTATGTGCAGGGATAGGAAAGATGCATCCGACTTTTGGGGATACAGCTGAATTTTTTCAGGAGCCAATTAGAACCGGTGGATGAGATTATACAAGTTTTGCTGTGATGAAATGTGCATATGGGGTCGGACCGTGCCATTCAAATTGCATGAAGCTTTACGGTGAGCTGGATTCATCTGACTTTTATCCGCAAGCTAATAAACCAGTGGCCTGCCTGGGCATTGCTCAATGCGTTGCCTGGTTGAGACAACAGACTTCTCACTAACACGAATAACCGTATAATTAAATAGTCAATAAACCAATGGAAACCGGGTTTGGAAGTTTCGAAAATAGCATGGGGCCCTCACCTGTACCCACGAATCCTTCTCGGTTGACCTGAAGCATGGGAACCGCACCCCTGGGCCAGAAGGTCTCACAAGAAACCCATAACCTGGAATCTCTCACCACCGACCTGCAAGCCTGTGCTAGTGACCTCTAAGCGCTCTCCACCAACCTGGAATTCCACCCAAATAACATGGATTCCTTCCCATGCGACCTTAGATCCCAAATTACTCGCATAGCATCACTCACCACTGACATGGAAGTCAGGACGCAGCCCGCAGCCCCTCACAAATGATACCGCACCGCAAGCCAGGAATCCTTCGCGACAGTCCTGAAATATCTCGCCTCTGACCTGTTACCCGCCACAAGACGTATCCAGAGACCCTAATCACTGACCGGGAAGCCCTCGGCGCTGACGCCGTGCATGCTGGCCACTGACCTGGAAGCTCTCGGCGCTGACGCCGTGCACGCCGGCCACTGATCTGGAAGCCCTCGGCGCTGACGCCGTGCACGCCGGCCACTGACCTGGAAGCCCTCGGCGCTGACGCCGTGCACGCTGGCCACTGACCTGGAAGCCCTCGGCGCTGACGCCGTGCACGCTGCGGTCGCAGCCGCAGTCGTCCATGCGGCCGCTGGAGCAGGCACGCGTGAGCGCGTGCGCCAGGCCGGCCGATGAGATGGCGTGAACGAACGCCGTCTCCCGGGTGCCTGCGGGTGGTCCGCGCCCGGTCAGCGGTCAGCCGGCTCCTCACCAGCGGAGACGCGTCTCGCGGGGTCCGCCACGGCTGGGTCAGGTGCTCCGCGCAGGAGAGGGCGGAACGTGGCAACCGCCCGGGCCATCAGACGGCCGCAGACTTGGTGGTGAGGTGGTGCCGCTTCACTCTCCGGAACGGAGTTGGAAATGTCACCGTGTCCCGTGCTCGTGGCATACCTTTGCAGAGCCTAAAACGCCCTCGGGTGGAAAGGGGGGGAGGGGAGGAGTTCATCCCCCTCACCCATTTTCAAAATATCTTCCGAACATTGCGGTGCGGTCACGTTGAATTTTGTTTAAATGTAGACAATTCAAAAGCCGGTCTTTTTGCATCAAGTATTTGATACGCCCCGTCAGAAAGCTGACCCATGGCAGGCCAAAGTCAACGCGTGCTTGTTTGCGAAAGTAGATTCTAAGAAACCGTTCTAGGGAGATCATTTCTAGAAGAAAATCGTAGGAAAATGTGATGCGACAGCGGAGTGTTAGATGTCAAACTATTTGGATGGCTTCTGAGACCATAAGACTGATGAAATTAGGATCACAACTGATTTCATTGACATTGGGCCCCGTATGACAACTGGGAAACTTGCTTTTTGAGGTAGCTTTTGACGCCCATTGCCTATTCCTGACCACACCGACGTCCAAAGATTTAAAAAAAAATATTCTCTGTAAATTTGGTGCCTCTAGTTCTCTTAGTTGTTAAGATCTCAGGAGGACAGGGATTGACCACACCCGAGTGCATTCAACCAGCCAGCCGGGCGCATGAGTGAGCGCCGCGTGCTCACCGGGCGCGCAGTGAGCGCGCCCGAGCATTCGTATCAGCTCAGGTGCACTGGTGGCGCGGGTGAGGTGCCGCATGGGTGACACAGTTAACCGAAAGATCCTTCATCTCAGGCATAGAGCGAGGATAACAATCCCAGCGCGGTCCGAGCTCAAACAGACAATCGATAGACAGAGCCGGAACCCACCGAAAAAGGCAACTTTCATGAGTAATGCGCAAGCAATGGACCATAAGGCAACCGACATGACACATCCAAGATGCAGTCACGAAAGAGGCCCAAATATGATACGGCAGACGTCCCCAAATATTTCAATCGACATGAATCAGACAGCTGATGCTAGTCCACGTTGGTGAGGAGTGAGGTTCGGACTTCATATCACTTCCCGGAAGTGTTAGGCGCATCCTAAGTCCTGAAGTTGGAAAATAAGTGGTAATTTGCGATGCTTTTATTGCAATATCCGGAAATTTTTCTCGAAGTATGGGCCGCGCATTATTACTAAAACCAGTAGTAAGCCTTGCTCGGCGTGCAACGAGTTAGACAGATGTGACGATTATCGAGGCAAACAGATGTTAAAACTAGGCTGATAGAAAACATCTTTGAAAAAATACTTTTGGAACACGTCTTTCAAACCATGCTTATGGATTTGGCCAATGCGTTAGCAGCTCCGCATGTTAAAGGATTTAGCAGGTGAAGATGTACTGATGAAGCATTTGGGCGCGAATAAAAAATAACGTGACTTAAAAATGGCTGGTTAGGTTCTGGGCAGCCCACGCGATTACAGTCCACAAAGTCAATGAATCGGCAAGGATTTTCAGCTCTGGTGGCTGTTAGCGTTTTGCATGCCCTGTTGCGAACATCTGTCCACTTTGTCGATAGCAAGGCTTTCTGTTCTCTTCTCCTTTGTTATTGGCTAACCTATTTCATCGCATTTCCTGGTCGATGAGATGTGAGTTTGTTTTCGACCCATGCTCTTCAGCTATTTAACGATTTGCATTTTGGGTTTCACATGTTACTTTGGGGACATAAATTACGCCGATATTGCGAAGGGTCGGGTCGGGTCGGGTCGGGTCGGGTCGGGTCGGATCGTGTCGTGTCGGGTCGGGTCGGGTCGGGTCGGGATCGGGTCGGGTCGGGTCGGGTCGGGTCGGGTCGGGTCGGGTCGGGTCGGGTCGGGTCGGGTCGGGTCGGGTCGGGTCGGGTCGGTCGGGGCTGGTCGGGCCGTCCGGTCCCCCAGGATGCACTGAACAAACAATAAAGATCCATTTCGGGGCGTTTCTCTTTATAACAGATAATCCAGTCGACAAAAAGTCCACGTGTGTGGACCATGTGGTGTCCCGTCCGCCGCTGCAATGGTGACGGGTGGCTGATTCAAACAGGTCTCCTCTTCGTAAACATAGGGTCCTCCAATCGTTTGCCAATGCATGCCTATCGGCTGACTGTTGAACCCCTGTGGTCACACTGTGCTGGACCGGTGTTGGACCACTGTGGTGATGGGACATAACGGTGTCCGCGGACCCGTCGGCTTACTGCTGGGCCACTCCGGTGATGCCGTGGCGGAACAGTGTCGGACCACTGCGGTGATGGGACATGGCGGTGTCCGCGGCAGCCGAGGTACATGCACGCGGCAGTCGGCAGGACAAAGAGATGGCCATCGGTCAGTCACGCCGGACACGGCCGGCCATCGGCCACTGCCAGGTACAGCACGTGACGACAACAGGCGGTCGGGCAACTACCTGCGCAGCCGTCGGCGCGCCGTAGCGAGCCCCACAATGGAGATTGCCCGTCCTGCTGAGGCAGATTACAGCCGGGCACCAAGGACACACTCCGGCATTTTTTGTTGATCCCTCGTACGTTCACAGTGGGATGCACATTGCAGAATGCACTTTGCACGCTGGTGGATCGCCTGAGTCGGTTCAGCGAGATTGCAGCAGCGCAAGAGCGCACCCGGCGGCACCCAGAGGCCGGGCGGGGCTCGCAGGGAGACGGCGCTGGCTTGCGTTGCAATGACCGCAGCATTGCGTCTTTGCAAGGCATGCCACTTGAGTATCAATGGCCAGGGTCCCGAGCAATTCATGAAGCGCTAAGAGCCTATGACGGCCTTGGACGCCGAGCTGGTACTTCAAGACATACACGCTCTAAGTGACTCTTCATGTTACAGCCAATAGCGAACGTCTGGGAGAGCGTGCGAAAGCCTGAAGAGGTGCGGGGCACCGACACGGGTTCATGGTTGAGGAGGAGAGGGGATGTCGTAGGCGCTTAATGCGTGTCTGTCACGTCACAGTCACATGCGCAATGTTAGACACCACATTATTAAGAGGACCTGCTCCTCGTGCGTCCATTGTTAAGGTCATGGTGAGGTGCGATGAGGCGGACTGACACTGATGGACAAGCGCGGCTGGATCAGCGTCCGCCCCACAGACAGTGCGGTTAGGTGCAGAGAGGTGACAGACAGGCCCACGGTCAGGTGCAGACAGATAACAGGCAGGCCCCACGGTCAGGTGCAGAGAGGTGACAGACAGGCCCACGGTCAGGTGCAGACAGATAACAGGCAGGCCCCACGGTCAGGTGCAGAGAGGTGACAGGCAGGCCCCATGGTCAGGTGCAGACAGATAACAGGCAGGCCCCACGGTCAGGTGCAGAGAGGTGACAGGCAGGCCCCATGGTCAGGTGCAGACAGATAACAGGCAGGCCCCACGGTCAGGTGCAGAGAGGTGACAGGCAGGCCCCATGGTCAGGTGCAGGTAGATGACAGACAGGCCGCATAGTCAGGTGCAGAGAGGTGACAGACAGGCCCTACGGCCAGGTGCAGACAAACGACAGGCAGGCCCCACAGTCAGGTGCAGAAAGATGACAGACAGGCTCACGGTCAGGTGCACACAGATGACAGACAGACCCAAGGTCAAGTGCACACAGATGACAGGCAGACCCACGGTCAGGTGCACACAGATGACAGACAGATCCACGGTCATGTGCGGATAGATGGCAGGCCCCACAGTCAGACGCAGACAGACTCACTTCAAGGCTCAACCTGTTAATGAATCACCTGATCGGACAACTGTGTACGGGCCCACTCCCCTGCTACACTGCCTAAATTCTGATGGGTTACCGGTCGATTCACCTGATGGTACGATCGTGTACGGTCTGGCTCACCTGACGACACGGTCGGGTACGGACAGACTACCTGCGATCGGAAACGGAAAGGCTCACCAGACGGCACGATGGGGCCGGGCACGTCCAGCGGGTTTTTCCTCCGACGCCGTTTGCGCGCCGGCTGGTCGTTCTGCGTGCGGTTGATGGAGGCGGCCCGCTCCGCCTTCCTGCCGACGTTGTCCTTCTCTGGAACAGACGGACGACCCGTGTTACGCTCCGAAGAGCGTTGGATCAGCGCTCCTGTGGTCCCTGCACACGATTGCGTGGATGAATGTGCTTCCCTGTGTAATACCCCTCACGGCCAACTGCCACAAGTCCACTGCCATCTCCACGCAGTCGCGTGGCTGCACTGAGTGGGCGGACGGGGCGGGGAGGGACTGGGCGGGGCGGGGGGGAGGGGGGGGGGGGGCTAGGCTCGGCACGCCACGGCAGAGGCCTTCTTGGACCGCCGCTGCCTGAAGATCCTCACAAGATCGGGAGGCCCGCTCGTCGACGGCTGATCAATGTGGTGCAGCCGGCTGCGAGCCGATCGAGGTCGGTGATTGGGATCGCCGCGCGCTCTGGGGCACAAACTGTGGGACTTTCCGGCCCAGCACTCCTGATCCGCCGCGGAGGGGCGTCCGCCACCGGGCGGAACGCGCGTCCCCGCGCCATCCGCATAACTTGTTTTGCACTTGCATAAGCGTCAAAAGATTGTGCTATGCAGTTTGTTCCTAAAGAATGTTGGCCTAGGCCATTTTAGGCTAGTGACCTATGCTGACCTCCAAGAAGTCTAGGGAAGATGTATAATGTCGTTCCTGTGATCAATAAATTCTGAATCAGCGCCAGTAACTACCTCATACTGCAAGCCTCAGAGTAACGAAACCGGTGGGTCTTGACCTGGGTCTGACATTCATATCTGGGCTTAGGTCAATAGAATTGGTTCAGTTAATTATTTTGTTTCCTCAGAAACCACTTTACAGAAGTATGACTTCGGCTAACACTTCGTTGTTGCGATGAGATTAAACGTTTTCCCAGAAATCGCCTTCCCGAATGCGTGGCCTGACTTTGAACTGCTATAGGTCAGCGACCTTACAAAGTACATCTGAATTTTTAAAACCAAACGATCCGCTATTCAATTGTTTACTGTTATGCAACATTTAGCGCAGTTACGCTAAAAACCTTTGGGGAAATCAAATTGACCCCCATCCGAGCGCGTGTTAAGAACCCATCATCTATCACCCAACTTGCGTCTCTCCAGTTCATGGCATATGTTGACTCGGACTTCTTTGCCAGAAGAAATTGCGGCGGGTTTAAAGTTTCATACCATGCTACGGCACGACCACGCCAGGAAAGGCTGACCGCATTTAGCCGATTGCCAGATAACCCTCCCATATCAGTCAGGCCAAACAATGCGCCTATTATGGGCCTTGGGTCAAGCGTCGCTGGGTCAGATTCCGGCATCTTTAACCAAGACCATTGATGCAACAACCTACCAGACCTTACATCTATAAACAACACAAATTGAACAGAAATCGTATAGGCGTCTGTTTCGGGAGCCGACAAGCATTACTGAACATTGGACGGGTAAGCCTCCCTGTACTTCATGTCAGCAAAACATTCCGACAGAGCGCCAAGCGTCGGAATAATAATACACCGCTACACCGTTCGTAGGAGGTCTTCCAAGGAGTCTGATACAGGCGTTACATCGCTTCGTGTTCCATGGTGCGTATCTCAGGAGCGTGGGAACGCTCCAAAAATGAGTGAGCCAAAACCTTCTTGAAGTCAATTTATTCCACACATCACTGTAGTGCCAACGTTAAGCTTCCGCACAAAATAAATGGAAATTTTTCAAACGCTCTCTCCTCCCCCGGGTCACTACGCCTGCGACGCATTCCATTCGCCACGTGGTACTGCATGTCGCAACGTACCGCCGGCAGCAGCTCAAGCTCGCTGTGGCATTACCGCGCCCGCGGTGCGAGCGCGACGTCAGCTGCCTTGCCATGGTCGCCAGAAGCCGGGGGCCAGGACTTGGCGTCCTAGCTGCCTCCGACAGCGGCTGCTGGGGGCAGTTGGACGCCCACCCCATTTGGAAAAGCCGCATCACAAGCGACGGCTGTCACAAGCTCTCGGCTGCACGTCATGTCAATCAACGTCGGCCACTGCACGCCACGACTGGGACAGCTTGTGACGGCTTGTGAACAGGGCCGGGTGCAGTCATGCGAGCCGGACGCTCCGGCGGCCGGTCGGCGAATCGCCCAGCAAAACTGTGCGTCGCGACAGGACGAGTCGCCCCCGCCGTCCCGGCCAGCTTATGATAAAGCCCTTAGTCGTGCTGGCGGCAATTCCGGAGACAGGAACGGGTTTGTACAGCTTTGCAATGGAGTGGTGTGCATATCGAATGGAGTCGGCGCGTGCAGCAGAATGTGCCAGTGGCGCGGAGGATGACTTGTGACGAGAATAAGGCTGGAGCGTGCTTCACTTGCTTAGCTGGTACATAACACATCGTAGCTGGTACATCCCTCACCTAGCTGGCACATAACACGGTCATGCAACCCACATTACGCAGCAGTAGGAGGAGCTCAGGATTCAATGTTCTTCCATACGGAACGCATCTCACAAGCGGCCACATTGCCAAGGACTGATGCGGACTCTTTGATGTTGCATTGGGTCAGATGATGCTGGGAAATACTGCAAACAAGTTGGACACGCAGGTAGCCATTGAGGGCCAGCAAACTGTCCATGCAAGACCATACCTAGCTACTTTAGCGCGCTTACTACCAAACCGTCACATCTTCACGCATAACAAAGAGACATTCGTGGGTTAGAGAAACTTTTACTGTACATCGCATGGTGTAACTCGGACTTTACATCTGTCTTGAGACTTTTGAACGTTGCACCTTCATGTGAGCCCGAACAGACTTCGTTGTTTTTGCACCTACGGCACATTTCAACCTGGTTGGTGATTTAGGATTTAGAAACTTGCGTGTGAAATAAAGCCAACGAGTCTGAAGTTCGCTGCTTGGACGCGATCGCGTGGACCGACGATTAGCCGGATGAGTCGGCTTAGGAAACTGTGGTATCATGACGAACAAGTCGCCGGTATGGTAAACAGGTATGCCTGAATTCGACGAATAATACGCAGCGTTGCAGTCGACGAAGCCGTGAATTTCGTATAGGCATTTTAATGTGCAAATTTTTCAGCGTCTTGAATTGTAATTCCTGCAAACACAGCTATCACAACTGGACCAAAACGTCAGTGACATTCAACTACGAATAGCATCGTGTTGAAATAAGAGACCATGTATGTGAATTAACATAGAAATATCGTCACGAGCCCGTGACATAAAATGGTAACTGCCACGATGTGCTATTTTATGTCCTTTGTACGTCTTACTTGATGGCGTCATAGGCGTCTCTATAACAATAGTGTGCTTTTGGCCATTAACAAAGTGCTGCTATCGCCATCTGTTCAGAACATAAAACGCTAAGTGCAGCTAATTCAGTCCGGCCGAGATCGCGGGTCGACTCAGCACCGAAACCGAACTCCAATTGGCGGTTAGGAGTGCCAGAGCGACCAGGTGACGGCCATTTTGAGCACTCGACCTCGGGTGTTTCCCGGCGCCGTGTGCAATTATTCCATCGGCCTAAATCATGGCGGCCGCGAGCTGCCTTGAGATGGGACAGTATCCGCCCTGAGATCGAGCGTCAAGTGGCGCTCGCTTGGAGGGCCAGATGAGTCGCCATATATGTCTCATGGCAGCCCGCGATTGTCGGGAACGGCGGCACTAACCGTCGGCGACCAATGCCGGCCCACACGTGTCCGGGTCCTGGACCCCAACAGGCGGTCACTGGGTCCGCGGTGCAAGGCAGCTCAGCTGAGAGGGCGTGCAGGTCAAAATAGTTCTATCGATGTGCTGAACTCGCGCGTGTGTGTGACTTGCCACTGTGCACCGATGTCGCAGACTCGACATCTCGTGCGGTGAGCTGACATTAAACGGTGAACGGTGAACGGCCGGTGAACGGCGAACGGAAACGTAAACCACGGTACGGCCTGCATCTTCATTCTCCAACGCAACCCCTTGAACCCGCGCTCCGAGCGGCGACAGCTCGAGCGTTGCTGCTTGCGCCGCGGCAGCGCCGACGGCTGGGCGCTGACCGGCGTTGGCCGGCGCTGGTCGGCGCTGGCCGGCGCTGGCCGGCGCTGGTCGGCTGCAGCACGGGTCCGCGCGGACCGCCGCTAGAGGTCGCCGCTGTAGGCAGCCGGCGGGTCCGCTCGCGCCACTCAGACGCCGCCGCACTCCCGCACAGCTCGGGCAGATATGCAGGTGCGGACTACCGCTCTCGCAGCGGACCGGTCGGGCCGCATGTCGATGCTGACCACTCGGCCCGAGTCGGGACAGTGCAGGAGCTCTCGATGACGGTGTACTGGTCACTCGGCCTGAGTCGGGACAGTGCGGGAGCTCTCGATGACGGTGTACTGGTCACTCGGCCTGAGTCGGGACAGTGCGGGAGCTCTCGATGAGGATGTACTGGTCACTCGGCCCGAGTCGGGACATTGCGGGAGCTCTCGATGACGACGCACTGGCCACTCGGCCCGAGCCGGGACAGTGCGGGAGATCTCGATGACGATGTACTGGCCACTCGGCCCGAGTCGGGACAGTGTGGGAGATCTCGATGACGATGTACTGGCCACTCGGCCCGAGCCGGGACATTGCGGGAGCTCTCGATGATTATGTACTGGCCACTCGGTCCGAGCCGGGACAGCGCGGAAGCTCTCGGTGATGATATTCTGGCCACTCGGCCCGAGTCGGGACAGTATGGGAGTTGTCACCCACAACACGGTGCGATGAGGCGGCGGGGCTTCCACCCGACAACCCAGCTGGAATGTCGTTGGGAGGCCACCGGGCTAGTCTTCTATTTTCGGAAACGTCCACACGGAGGAAAAGTTTATGGGAAAGGTCTCACTGATGGGCTTCTTCCGAAACCCTGCTGTTCATTAAGTGCAATTTCCGACCCCTTAAAATCTTAAAATCGATCCATTTAGCTCCCATGCGGTCCAGAAGCTGCACCCGGGACGCCCCCGTGGCTCACTCGGACGCCCTGCCTCGTCCGTCCGCTGGGAATTCCAGCTGGGGGCGCTGCTTGTCTGCACCGATGAGTGATATTGCACTGCCAACTGCACCGGATGTTGAACATGGCTGCTGTAAAGTTGGGCTGATAGCCCCTGGTTAAGGGCATGCAGTTAGCCCCGATTAGGACACGTGCTGTTATAAAACAGCTCGCGCAAGGGCCGCGGTACTAGATCTGATCTCGCTGTGGATCGGCGATGCATATGGTGGTCCGGGCGGCTAGAGCACATGATATCGATCATGTGGAGTTAATTTACCATTTTGGGCACCCCCTCCCCACTCGCGGATAGTCCGCATTGCGCACCTCAGCTCAAGGATAGGGGGCCGGACATAGCTTCTTAAGTTTTTTTTTTAAGAACGTGACGCACGTCGCTGCACATCCTGTTCTGGAGAGCAAGCATCTGCAGAGACCTTAGCGCAGTGGCATGGGGCCATGGCGCAACAGAGAGTCAAACTCAAGCCCTGAGGCGAGAGCCGAAGACGCTTACCTCTCGGCCATAGCGTCGCGATTTGTTTTTAATCTTACGAAAAGCTTACATATCGATAGGAGAGAAAGCTTTTAACGCTAAGCAAAATAGGCAAGCCTGTCCACATTGCTTTTAGAGGCTCACCGCGTGCACTGTTGCCGCCACTTGTTCCATGGTTAAGATGGTTTGACCGCATTCCACGGTTAAGCGTGAGTTAAGTTTAAAGGGAGAGTTCCATATTTGTATGGGGCTTTGAGTCAAAATAACCATTTGGAAGATCATCCGGTGCAGTTCACAGCCATGTATGTCCTTGTTAAGGCCCAAAACCTCTTAGTTTCTGAGCTATACACAAGCGAAGATGTGCAGACTATTCCTGCAGACTATTTAAAGGCCATTCAGGCATTGCTAGTTATTGCGAAAGTGAGTCTTGTAAAAGAATAACTTAATAATTATACTTTCGGATAGCTATGCAAGAATATCACGAGAAAGGGCCAAAACATAATGCTCACATAAAACAAAGATAAACACATAATGCTATTTGGCTCAACGAACACTTTCAGCCCGTGCTGCCATCTCCTGATGAGTTTTAAGTACTACGAGTAAATGGCAATCTCGCACTGCTAGTTTGGCAGTACCTCAACGTCACACAAACGTTCCATGATGCAATCAATGTCATAGTGAGAAGCATATTTACATCATAGAATACACCAGTTTTATTGTCTAGAGCAGTAAGGTCTATTCAAAAGTACACCAATAGTTATAAGGGAGCTAATTTCATCATATCTGATGCTTGCTTCCATATCTTTCAATGTGGTATATTCTCTTTAAGAGACCTTTGCAGAACAATGGTGTATGCGAATGAAGGACAAAAGATGGTTGGGAGAGTTGGTGGGTATCAGTGCAGGTGCAAAACAACCAACTATTTCACCCACAGTTTGTTTTTATTGTAGTGATCTTCATGAAGAAGAGGAGCGTACCACTTGCACTCAGATATTTAAAGGAAGTGTTCCACATTTGAGGACATTGAAGCAAGCATCAGATGTGATGAAGTAAGCTCACTTATAGCCATTTTTATACTTTTAAGTAGAAATATATATTGTTCTGATATACAGCTCAGGACAACACAATTTCTCTGTTAAGTAAATAAGCGTACCAATCCCGAATACTCAGTACATGTCCACAGTTTGATTACGTTTCGTACCTTTCCACGACCATTATGCCTGGAAGTCGTGCTCACGAACGCCGGATATGAACGACTCCACAATTGTTTTGCCTTGATCGCCGCATGACTCGTGGAATGATAGGATTTGGCTGGCATTATTATGGCGTTATAGATGCCTGGGTGACCTTAAAAAATTCTTCCGGGAATAATCCTATCTTCGCGGGCGCGTAGCTCAGTAATTAGAGTAGACTATGTCTTAGGAAGGACAGGGATGTGACTGCACCAAATGATCTTCAAGATAGCTATTTCAATTCAAGACCACAGACAAATGTGAAACATCACACCGTTAAAGAGCTTTTACTCTCGTTAGAACAGTGTGTCCAGAGAGAAGATTAGAACTAAAGAGACAGCAACTGTTGAAAAGAAGGCTTGCCGTTCCAGCACAATTTATAACGAGCAACATTGTTCATAGGGGATTTTATGCTGATAGATCAGAGCTCCTTCCATGATGAAAAGATGTACACGGAGGTCAAACCATACTCGTTGTACTTAGAAACGCTACCTGTGTAAAAATCAGAAGCTGATCCTCAGATTACATTTCATCAGCTGTCTTCTGCAGTGCCATGCATAAAGCGATACCCCGAAACATCTAGTCATTGCACAGGCACACATGTTTACACGTACATAATGTTTACGTCATGCGCGACTGGATGTTCAGCACTCTGTTCTTCACCTCTGGATATCGATCGGATTAGTTTAATATGGCCGAATACCTGCATATCCGACCACAGACTCGGACTTTAAAGGCGTAATCCAAGTCCAATCCACCGTGGCCGATGCAGGACATCGACGCTGGACTGCCGACACCCAGGCCCTGCTTCGGCTGGCACCGCCGCTTCCGCTTTCCTAGGTGACACGCTCTCTGACACACGCGTCCGGCTTCAATGACCTCTGCGACGCCGCGGGGTCCAGATGCGTGTCAGTGAGGGTCACGGGTCACACCTCATCACCTGGCGCCTGGTGATAAATTTGTCATGCAAATCGACCGACCGAGATGCTTATCGCCTGGCGACCAGGACATGCGACCATCCGGAACAAATAGCCCGGTTTGGTGGCCTGGTGTAAAACCGCTGTCGCCATTTCTCTGCGTCAGCGCCCACCCACGAGCCAGCCGTGCTGCTGCCCGGGACGAGGCTGGGCGGGCCGGGTGCGGCGCAGGTGATCGGGGATGGGAACCGCAGGCACGAGCAGACAGGCAGTTCGTGACAAGCTGAGATAGGGGCGACAAGGCGATCACCTCGGGCGCCGGCTGGGAGGGCTGGAACGGGCGCGCTGTGATCAGACTAAGAGCACGGCGACGCGGACTTACGGGGCGAAAGGCGTCGAGAACTCGAGTCTGGTGGAGTTATAAATAGATGGCAACGACCTCACACAACCCGATCAACCGGAGAGGTTCACCACGGGTTGCTTGGAAATGGGCGCTGTTTAGTTCAATAGCCGGAGCTGTACAGCTAAGGCGTTCGCTGTGCAACATGCTCAACGCATGCGACGAGGTGCATGATGCAGATGGTGCATCGAACCAAGCGTTTCCTCGAACAGAAAAATCGGTCGTCGGGCACAGAATGCATCCGGTAAGATCACGCTAGTTTGATCGAGCTGCGCGAGTTTAACACCGGTGTTGGATTTCCCACCATTCCCTTTGCAGACCTCTCAACGGTGGCCTAATTTGGCCGTGATCTGACGTTATCAGACCATGCGCTCTGACGCAGTGCTGCATCTCCGACAAGCATCGATGTACCGAGTGCGCGTCAGCGGATGCTGCTCGGAAAGCCCACCCGTGAGTGTTGCGGGTTGGTTCGATGAATTCAGTCACGAGACCCGCGCTATAAGGCAGCCAGGGCGGAGCAGCCGAGAGCGATATCTGCTGCCTCAGCTGGTGACATCGGTATGCTCCCTACATTTCGGTTCGATTCCGTTCACGATGGTGGCTGTTTGAGCCGCCCGCAAGAATCAAACAGGTATTTACTCAAGTTATGTCACTGGCGTTGCCCTCAAAGACATGTGCCTGTTTTTCCCCCTGGCAATATTAGGAAACGGCAATTGACCATTTAACTTTACGGGTAACATCAGTACCACGCACGACCGAACAGGCCTTCTGTGAAGCCGCCACCGGCGGCCGGCGGACACGCCACTTTTTCAACGTCGGGCCGCCAGTTTTTGTGTGGTGGCACAGCTCCCGGTAGGCGTACTTACCGACGGTCATGTTGAGCTTGCTGTAGATGACCTCCCTATTGAGGTCCATGGAGGTGGAGCAGTTCCAGCGGCGCGTGCGGAACTGGTGCTGGCACTCGGAGATGGCCCTCGCTGCGCCGTCCTTCACCGACGACATGAAGCCCGGGTGCTTCTTACAGAACCTGCCCGCCGCACACGGGCACACCGGCGTCAGCGCGGACACGCTCGACTCTGCGCGCACGTTCGGGACACTTTGGCTCGTGCGACTCGGAGCACAGGAAGGAAGCGCCGTTTCAGCGCGTTTGCAAGTCGCCAACTTCAGTGCGAGGCACGCAACGAGGTCCCAAGCCTTAAATGTAGCTGCGTGAACGAGCCGTAATGTAATTAACATTGACTTCTCACCTAGCGAAGGACGCTTCAATTGGCCCACATTCACCGCGATCGTATTATGTAGGCAGCGTACAAACAAAGGCACGTCCCGACGGGGACCTTACGGGTCCACCTGCCCGCCGTCTCACGTCCGGCTGTGACGTCACGCGTCAGGCCCGCCGTTCAGCTCGTCTCCCAACCAAAACATAGTTGAGCCGCGCGATGCGTGACGCCTGGCTCCGAGACGGCGATCCGGCGGCCGGAGGCGGCTGATCCGGCGGCGCCGCCCGGCGCGGTCGGTGCTCGCGTGTCATAAGCCGCGGCGCGAGCGGCTTATGCCATGCGGCTGAGATCGTCACCCGGCCCACGTGTTTGGCCAGAGGCGGACACGTGCAGGACGTCTGGAACCGGCCATCGGGTGCCGGCTCCGCCTCCGCCTCGGATGTCCGGCAAGGTTCTCCCGGCCTGCTGAGCGGGCCCAGAGGCCCAGAGGCCCAGAGGCCCAGAGAGGCCCAGAGGCCGACCGACGCGGCTGCGACGAAGAGCGGCGGGGACGCGCCGAGCAGAGAGGTGACGGCTTGACGCTCCACCGACAGAAGGCGAAAAAGACTGCCTAATTTAAGCAACGCGTCATTCTCAAACCAGTGGAATTTTGCGTCTTCGCGTCCCCTGTCTTGGGCAGGCGAGGTAAGGGTGGCGACTTGCCTGATTTGTTGCTTGGCTAGCGATCCCCGTAGCGTCTCGCACAGTAGCGGCGAGGTGGGCATGTGCCCCACACTGCCCACGCTGCTGATGGAACTTAGCGCCCTGCGGAAGAAAACGGAATGTGGTCAGCTGAGCCCAGGCCAAGTTGGGGTCAGGCGCGGCGCTCAGCACCCCGCCAACAACGGCGGGGGAGATGAAGACAGCTCATGCCACGCCATTGTTCACACCACCGGTGCGGAGTGATGACGTCACAGCAAAAGGGTAGCGGGGTTCGACCGTAAGCTAATGGGTGGAGGATATGGTACGGGAGGTGTGGCAGCGGCCACGCGTGCTTCCTTTGATGGTGCCATGATTTTATCATTTTCCAAAGTAAATATTCCCGTTCTAAACGCTTTGCCGCGGCATTTTTCAACATTCTCCGGCTCTGCATATGACATGAGGCTTTGTGTTGAATACAGGCTCATACAGGCTCAGTTCTACATCGTATCTCGCTGAATTATAACGGCCATGTTCCAGTAGGTGCCGTTTTGTCACTTGCGATAACAGTGATGACAGGCGGCAGCACATGCCTTCTCTAAGTCTCTAAGTCCTGCGCTTTTAGGTCTCGAAATTATTACCAAACGCCATCGGTCAAGTTCAGATGCAACTTATCTAAAGGAGGACGGAAAGGATACTTACTTCGTACCGGCTAGGTTTCAGCAAAACTCCAAAGACCATTTATTTCAAATACTTTATGCAAATATGCTTGTTCTTTGCAACGTGGCTGATTCTGACGTAACTGAGCTCAAAGTATGTCGTGGCGAGTTCATTTTAAGCCTCGGAATAATCAAATACGCATGGTTTGCTATAAAATGCATCACATTCTCGAACTATTCTCGATGGCGCACTGTAGATTTTGGGTACAGTAAATCGTTCATTCAGGTCACGTCCTGAAACATGCACAGCTCCTTCAATGCTCCATGAAATTGTGTAGTCGTGGCTACCCATATCCCAAATAAGTCATGAGTAACCCCATCCAATCCTTCTACAACCCAGGGGAGTGACAGGAGAGGTGCTTACAGCACTCCCACAGCGACATAGCGCCAGAGCTCCCACATTGAAGTGGTTTTGGTTGCGACACGGGCGCCGGGCTAGCCCTGCATCGCAACCTTTCCTCCCCTGTGCTTCCCCGCGTGGACGTCACTGCACCAGAGCCGCGGTGCCCCAGCGCAAGATCAGCTGGGTTCCTCAGAAGCCCGACACGTCCGCACTGCCTACAGGTCACGAAAGCCGCCGCAAGGGTCAGTCGACGGCCAATTCGGGCGGTTCATCTGACCTTCCTGACCTTCTGACCTTCATGCGGTGCCGCGGCCGCGGCCTGGCGGACCGCACCGGCTGGCGTCGACTCCACCGAGCGCCGGCGCGGCGGCGGCCCAACAGCGAGCGCCACCGTGCTGACCGGGCGCATGGCGGCAGTACGACAGCGGCTGAACGACGGCCACCGCACGGCAGCAGTACGACAGCGGCTGAACGACGGCCAGCGCACGGCAGCAGTACGACAGCGGCTGAGCGACGGCCACCGCACGGCAGCAGTACGACAGCGGCTGAGCGACGGCCAGCGCACGGCAGCAGTACGACAGCAGCTGAACGACGGCCAGCGCACGGCAGCAGTACGACAGCTGATTGACGGTTTGAGGGAAGGACAGCACCACAGCAGCGAATGAGAGACGACACGCCGCACCAGCGACTGACGCGGCTTCCGCCCGACCTCTGGCTGCTCTCCGCTGGCTAAAGCGACCAATTACACGCGCCGGTTCGGTCTCGACGCGCCGCCATTGTATGCAAATGCGGCGGCAGCGGTGGCGGCGCGGCGGCGGCGTGTCAAAACAGGCCGGCCGCCGACAATGGCGGCACCTGTCGGGCGCGCTTATCGCCAATCGCCGGCTCTAATACGCCAATTAACGGCGGAGAAACACACGCCGAGCGGCCTGTGTGGCGCTGGGCCGCGAGCGATAAGGCAGACGGCGCCACCGCCGGTGGCCCGTCTCGGAGCGGGGGCGACACCGCTCCCCGGGAGCGCAGACCAGCGACCGCACCCTCCAGATCAGCACAGGCCGGTCAGGCTGGGCCGCGAGCGATAAGGCAGACGGCGCCGCCGGTGGCCCGGCTGGCCGGGACGGAACGGGGGCGACACCGCTCCCCGGGAGCGCGGACCAGCGACCGCGCCCTCCAGATCAGCACGGGCCGGTCAGGCCGGGCCGCGAGGAGCTCGCACAGGACGGCGTCTCTGCGGTCCCCGAACAAACCGCCTGCCTGTCCGGGTCGGCGCCAGCTGCGAGGGGTTGACAGACCTCCTGGACATTCAGTGTCTTCAGATCAGGCCAGCCGAGTAGATTTGTGTTGTCCAGCAAATGTGTCTGAATCAGCACATCGGGTGTAAAGGGTGCAGCAACATGCGAGCGAAAGACGCAGCAGAGTCCAGATGTGCGTGTACCTCTGTCTTTTTTCTCTGCTTTAGTTCTGTGTGACGCTTTGCTCTTCCTTACATTCTCGCAGGAGAAGTGTGAAAAAGAAACGGAGCTAGACTTGGAATGTTTCACTGAAAGGCAGATGCGCGTCCGGGGGAAGGGCACTGGTGGCACAGGGGCACACCCCCTTCCACGATCGGAAAGTAAGGGCACTTCTAAAACAGCGTCGACAGTGCCCCTCCGCAGGCTGCTCTAAGCCGCCAAAGCACCCTTCGCGTTGGCAAAGGTGCTGACCGCAAAGTCCGGTCCGGTCCGGTCCGGTCCGGTCCGGTCCGGTCCGGTCCGGTCCGCTCTGACGTGGACTGGAACTGGGCAAGGGGATCATGAGATCATGGAGACCCAAAGGTGCCCGAAACTTAAGCGGGAGGGGCGGGGGGGGGGGACAAGGCGCCCCGAGGGCTAAAATGGCTGTTGTGCGGGCATGGGTATGCTGTTTGGAAGTAATTAGGGCATACTGTTTGAAAATATGTCCCGAAATCTAGAAGCATGTTCTAAAGACTATACGAACGTCTCAACGTCTCGGACTGAAGAGTTTCCACCCACGGCTAATTCGGGCGTACCCGTAGTTTATGTCCCAAGAGCGATAAGAACGCACTTAACAATAGCAGGATGACCAAACATCGGGATACCCGCTTCAGATCGATCAAAAGCACTTCTGAAGTCTAAAAATACGCTGCGAGGGCAAGAAGAGTGTCATAAATCACAAGCGTCTCAAGCCTGAAGGGGCACTCTGAGGGCTCAAATGGCGCCGCTAGCGTCACCAATATGTCCCAGATCCAAGTATAAGATATCCTAAAAAATAAAAAGGCATCACCCGCCCTCCCCCCCCCCCCCCCCCAGAGAAATGCAATCTCGCGAGCCACACTCATACAGCGGTTCACCCCCGTGTGTCACGCTCAGTGCCGCTATTCGAAGGATGGCCCGGCGGCGGCGGCGGCGGCGGCGGCGGCTGAAACCGAAAACCGAAATGACACCTTCGCGCTGTACCCAACTCTGCCAGCGGCTTTAAGTGCATGCGTCATACGTTACATAAAACGATAATGCAATTTGCAGGAGTTAGTTAGCCAAGTGTGCACGTCATGAAGTGTCGCAAGTGGGCAAACCCAGAAAATCCAATTTTGCATTATTTTTGATAGCTAAGGATTATCTGCACAAGCCGAATAACTTATAACATAGATGGCTATTTTACCTTCTGTAAAAACGATGTAAATGTCGATCAAAAGGTAGCAAATTCAGCGCAATAAGAGTTCATGTGTTGCAATGCTATGGCAGTCCCGCAAGACCGACCGCGTGAGCCAACTCGACATGTCACTCCCATGACGCATCGCTTATGTTATTTATCATGATAACGGCGGGTACTGATTAATGAGCAAAAATTTAGCATGTTTTCTTTTTAAGGGTGATTAGTTAGACGTGTCTTTCCGCGACCTTTTCGGGTGTTCATGAAAATAAAAGAAGTCAACTATTGTATTTTCGAATTGGGTTAACGCCCATTCATTAGAATTGCTGCCACTTGGAGAGGTTGCCTACTCTCCAAGTCATTCTACCTAGCACCTCTCCTGTTGCATAGATATCGCCCATGAACGAACAAAGCCTTCATTCAGGGAGAAGGCTATACCCTGCAGGTGTATCTGCATATGATAGTGCTGGTGACAGCGATGACTAATCGTGCAGCCCAGTCTGTTCACCCCGTAGCTTGGCACGGTTTCGGTGATTTTGGCTCTGCGCCTGGTGTTTTTAAATCAATGTAGGTAACTGATTCTCAAGAACAATGCATATTACTGCACAACATGACGTATCGGACGAGCGTGCTGCGGGATATGATAAACATGTGCCTGGGCATTAAACGCCATTTGCATATCATACTGGATCACAATAATGCAGCCGTGATTTATGAAATCGGACTGCAAACGCGCTAGATATGCTTTGACCATGACACAAATAAACTCAGGCATCGGTCGTTGTTTGCTATTTCTGAGAAGAATAAAAGACAACGTAGGATTTTACGTCAATGGCTTGAGCATCAGTAGCATCAGTGCTGTTTTCTATTTCTGACAGACCGAAGAAGCGACCTCGTACTTTGATTTGAAAACCCAACCCGAGATGCAACAGAAGGGCCTTCTAACGTCTCCGAGCTGTCTGAGTCTCGTTTGGCACCGCCACCCCCTGCCCGGGCATCAATTCCGCCTCACCCTCGACCGGCGGCGCTCGCTGCAGGCCGGTGTAATGATCATGTCAGGCTCTCACCAGGGGACGGACTCCCCGCGGGCCGGGCCGGGCGCGGCGCGGCGGGCGCCGCCCTGCTCATTCCGGCGTGGCCCCCGGCCGCCGCCTCCCGCCGGGTGGCCCTGTACCTCACCAGGCTGCCCTGTCTCACGGCAGGCGGCGCCCAGCCTCAGCGGGCGGTCCGCCACCCCAGCAGGCGGCCCTGTACCTCAGCGTGTGGTGCTGTACCCCAGCTTGTAGTACCGTGCCCCAACGTGCGACATCGTCCCCTGGAGCACGACCCTGCACCTCAGTGAGTGACCCTGAAGCGCCGCGGGCTGCTCCGCATCCCACCACGTGGTCTTGTGCCTCGCAGGGCCAGACACCACT